GTTCATTTCGGATTACATATATATATAATTTAAATTCAGAAAATTCCGTTTTCTAATGTTCCTATTAAAAATTGCTTATCCAAAGAAATGTAACTCTACATATATAATTAATTTACAGTTCATGAAGTAAATTAAGTACAATTGCTATCAATATTACCTGCAATACTACTGTAATAAGCTGAGAAATTATTTTTTAACTTTTTGAAATATAGTAAACAAGCGTTTATAGAGGATTGTATTGCTGGTAGCACTGACGGCTAAGTGTAGAGAGATCTGACTATATATGACTAAAGCATATTTAAATTATTTTTTTTCCCTTGTGAAATACTGAAGTTTAATGGACTCTGCTTTGAAACTAAATACCGCAAAAGTATTTTATGTTCTTAAAGTTATTATATAATAAGTTAATAATATTAATTTATTTTTGCTTGCTAAATCCTTTCTATAAAACCGAAATCATTTTCGCATTAAAATATCATACTCTTTTTCTATTTTTAGTATTGTAAGATACTTGTATTTTACTACAACTATAATTTTAACAAAATAAAATTATTTTTCAACAAGAAGAAAAAAATTCTGGAAAAATTACCGTTTTGTAAAGTAATGACTTTTCTTATAAAAAAAATTAAAAATGTAAAAAATACACGATTCTATTAATAAAACCAAAATATATGGTATTTATAAACCAACCATTCATTTGGCAATTTTCCCTTCATATGATAACATATATTACCGGAAAATCTGGTTTTCAAAATTATAATTTTTATTAAAAAAACTTCAGTGAAAAATACAAAATCAAAAAGTAAGTGTTTACTAAATAAATAGATTGTACTCCATGATTGAAAAAATTATGATAATATTAAGAAATTTTGCCACATTTACTAAATTTTATCACATATTATAACATTATATTTCATGGTTAATTTAACCAAAATTATTGCCAAATCACTTCGGTAAAAAATAAAGACCTTTTCGGTGTTCTCATAGAGCCAGAAATTCGGTAAATTTAACCACATTCTGGTAGATTTGGCCATAATTTTCTTTTCAGTGTATTTAAATTCTGTATGAATCTAAAAAAGGTAACAGAACTATGTTTTTAAAGCATAGTCTTATCGAAAATATTTTTTTACTCTACGACTAACATAATTTCAAAACTTCTGATTGCGACTGATCCAGTAATGGCATTTAATGTATTATATAATTTCTATTTACTTTTCATTTAAAATAAACTTTTAAATAGCAGAAAATTTCTCTACTTTTTTATAAATAATGCCCGTTGTTTAGAAAATGGTAAACATCAAAAAAAAAATCCTTTTTGACAGTGCGTAAAATTCTTGCAAAAAATTAGATTTGCACGGTAAAAACATTTCTGATTAAAAGAGCAAGAATTCTGGCAATGAACACCAAAATTTACAGTACCTTATTTTATTTGATAATTTTTCTGTTCTTTATGATAACGGTTTATCAGAAACTCTAATATTCAAAATTATGGTTCTTATTACCCACACATCTCATAAAAATACGAGTAAATTAAACTGAAAAAATAGATGTTATGGTTAAATACTCTGAAAAATAATTATAAAGTTACCAGACTATTTTTCAGAATGTGTCATTTATTTTATCAGTTATTTGGTAATTTTAAAACTTCCATTACCTTTTGTAAGATAATATGTAGTAATAAGTTCTTTTAAATGGAATATAGATCTTATAATAAAAAGCCACTTTTTACCAAATAGAATATTAATAGATCTTATAATCTGTTTAACATGCTTTGTATAATTTATTTGAAATGGCGACACTCTGTGTTGATATGTGGCGACACTTAGTTGAATTAGATTACGGTTAATCATTTCGTGATGCTTTCAAGTGTTTAAATTAAGTGTGTTAAGAATTCTAGACTCCTGTACTCTCTGTTTTATGAAGTGGTTACATATTTATACATATATTACAACTTAAACATTTAGAAGCTTATATATTACATTTTTTTCATTGCATGTAGTTCTTTTCTTTTAAACAGCTAATATTTTTATAAATGATACTGACAAATATATGTAAGTGTTGCATATCAAACACAGAGTAATTCGTGACATCTCTAAATTCGTTGCTACAATTTTTGTAACAAATACTTATTTAAAATGAATATGTAATTTTGTAAAGCATTACGAAAATTATCTCGGTGATCCCCAACATATTTAGATTTCATAAAAACACATCTTATCAAAATAATGGATATAGTGAATCATGATAATAAAAACATATTTTATTGTCAATTTTTACATTAGTAATTACCAAAGAACTACGATAAAAATCACTCTATTTTTTATGTTCCATACAAAATCTTTTCAATCCAGAAAATACACTAAATTTTATTATACTCTGGAAGCTTTGGGATTTTTTTTTCTGGGAGAAAAACGTTAAGATTTTTCTTTTTTTCACCATATTGGTAAAAATGCGCCTTTACTGGCTCTCATGTGCATATATGGCAACGTTACTTTTAAAAAGTAACGAGTAAAAAGTACAAGTAAAAGTACAAGTACTAAACAAAAAAAGTAACGATTTAAAAGTACATTTCTAGGAAATCGAAAAGTCAAAGTGACCTAAAATTTTATTGAATAATATGCTTATGTTCTTTAATATTTTTGCAAAATTGTTGTTATTTATTTAATTATTTTTAATTTTGAAAGTTATGGACATTAATTTATTTTTAAATTCGGAAGAATATTATAATATAATTTTATAATATAATCGTATAATATAATTTTAAAATCAAATATAATTTTAATATCAAACTTTTTATGGATTTGCACGAAAAAGAAATTTTACCTATTGATTTTAATTTTTAGTTTTTTATTTTTATTTATTTAAATTAGCATTGATTTAAAATTGTTTTACTCTATAGAAACGCGTTTTAAAAGCACAAACATAAACAAAGCAAACACTTTAGATAGCTTTGTGATCTTTAAGCTAGTAAGATATAATTGAATGTGCGGTATAAGTTGAAACATAACTGTCTACAGTTTTATTTGTAACAATGGCTAATGCTGAAGTCATGCGAAAAAATCCTTTTCCGAACATTTCTGCCTGATGGAACAATTAAAATTTTTAAACGAATTTCAGCATCAGCGGCTAAATTAATACCTTCGAGTTTTCAAAAGTTAAAATAGTAATTATAATAGCTTTCAATAACACAAATAGTTCTGAAGTTCTTAGAGATTTGACTGGGCGTTGTTTGACAAGGTCGGGCATAAACATAATTTTAGTAAAAAATGTACTAGGTAAAAATGTATTTAGTA